ATTAGGGTTTCCTCTTCCTATTCTAGAGAGAGAAAGTGTCATTCAAAGGAGGAGGAAGGAGATTGAGCTCATTTCAAGCTAGAGGATTGAAGGTTTCTTCTTCTAAAGGGAGATTCAAGCAAGGAAGAAGGAATATTGTCATCTCTTCATGGTTCTTCATTTCTCATTTTTATGCCAATTTAACCTAGCTTAGAGAGAAGCTCCGTTATTTTAAGAGTCTCTAATTGAGCTGGGTTTTCTTAGGCATTCCATGCCTCCTAACTAGCTTAGAGAGAATCCCCCTTATTTTAAGGGGCTCTAATTGAGCTGGGTTTTCTTAGGCATTTCATGCCTCCTAACTAGGTTAATGAAGGGAAAACTTCTAAACTTGAATTAGACACCTAGGTTAATTGTGATTATGCCGTCCAGACCTTGGTTTGAGGGAGAAGGCAAGTCAACCCTCAATTGCTGGGGCCAAGAGGGCTACAATTGTAGCCTATAATGCTTACCTTGGCCTAACAATTGAGAGGATGTATTCTAACCATTGTTGCACCTCCTACGGGTCACAATTGCCTTGTTTGCCATCCGAATTGAGTTCCGAAGGATGGGTTCTTGCAATCCTTAGTTTATCGGTTAAGAGAGCTAGGACTCCTAGCTTATTGTTGCAATCCTTATCCAAAAGGTTAAGAGAGATAGACTTCCTAGTTTATTGTAGCAATCCTTAATCCATTGATTGAGAGAGCTAAGGATCCTAGCTTAATTGTTTTCCTTAACCGATTGATTAAGAGAATGAGGTTTCCTTCACTTGTTGCACCTTCCTATGGTGTATGAACACACCTCCACCCATTCTCATTTGATTTGGTCGATCTTGATATGTAGCTAGGGGGAGCAATAACCGGGTGAATTCTTCTCTCACTGGGACAACCTCGATTTACTTTACTTGCTTGTTTTCATTTGTAGTTTTCATAGTTTTAAACCCAAAAACGTTTGCTAGATAACAAACTAAGCGATTGAAGTAGGGGTACATGGACTGACCCGAGTTGACAATTTAAATACTTGCCCTATACTGCACCCGGCTAGAGTTTAACAACTTGAGCTCTAGTCGGGATTAATTCGTGGTGTAGCTTTGTGCGAGTCAATACCAAAAGGCTAATTTCATAAAACTCAAAACTAACTCAAAGGCTAATTATTAATAATAGTTTAATTATTAAGTTACATTCTCTATTGTGATGTCTACATAAACATATATGTTGAAGGACTATGATAAGGTTCTTAACGAAAACTGTGACTTATTATTAGAGCTAGAAGCAGTGTTGTCAAAACCGAGCCGAGCCGGTCGGTCGGACCGGTAAAACCGGGACCCGATCACCAGCCCGGTTCGGAACAGTTAAAAAAACGCTACGGTTGAATTGGCCGGCTAGTTAACGTTTTGAACAATTAACCGCCAAAACCATTCAACCTGGTCAGCCGGCTCTAAGCTATCAAATCCCATATTGAATGAATTAATACGGTATCCGAGAAGTGCACAGGAGTTGAGACGCTGGGCTGTCTCTCCGCTTCCCGGAAAATTGGCTTTTCACCTCTTTTTTGGTGCGCCAATAATCTTTTTAGCTAGCATTAGTTTCTTCTTTTTTATTTATTAAAAAACACATTCATTCTCTCAAATTATAAGGTGGAATGCTGCATGCGTTGAACTTTTCCTTCCCAATGCCATCTGCATGTCTCGTATGGATTTTTTAGTTTTTAGTTTTTTTTTGGTTAATTAAATGGACAAACTACATTTTTTCCGCATAATTTAACATTTTCATAATCATAATGCTAGATGGTCATGACTAGAAATCTAAATTTTGGATTTTAGAACTAAAAAGGAAAATTAATAATTATATAAATTTGACTATTTATTGATTGTTTTTATTTGAAAATAGTGTGGTTCATATGATGTTTGAACTTTTGAACTTTAATACTCATATTTTAAATTTGTTTATTATTGATGAATTTTATTGTGAATTTATGGTCTAATATGTATAGTATTTATCATATTCTTGTTTATAAGGTATCGGTTCGTTAACGGTTTTTAGCGGTCTAACACCGGCCGAACCAATAAAGTGCGAGCCGCTCACTATATCGGTTCATACTCCGGTTCGGTTTTGACAGCATTGCCTAGAAGTATGGTATTTGGGATATACCGAATATCGTAATGAATTTGTAGGTATTAGGTATTATCAAATATACGTGTGATTCTATGGAATTGAGATTATGAATGAATTTCAAGTGTAATTTGATAATAGGTATTATGGGATTGGGATTGGTATTATACCAGAATATCTATCAATACCGAAATATAAGATAGTGTCCCTCTCAACTAGACTCCCTCACTCACTATACTAGATCTTCAATCGCCAAGATGATCACTTAATTACACATAGCTCATTTTCTTACTATTTGACAACACATATCAAGCTCATTTTGTTAGTTGTGCTATATTTTATGGCTTGCTTATATTTTATGGCTTGCTTATTCACAATCTAGGGGTTGTTTGGAGGTTGAGATCAACGCGCATTGCTGGTAATGAACCATATAATTTCCTCTTATTCAAGAGTGACTTAGGGATTGGATTTAACCTATGATCAGATCAGTGGGCAACCATAGTTTACTTTTTTTGTGGTGTTGTTGAAAGGCAGGCATTTTTCTTTCCTGATTTAGTCTAGCTAGAATGCGAGAATGGAGTTTCGCCTTCACCCACTCAGGTACGAAAAGCCCCTTCTGCTGCGCATATTTAGCAGAGTCTTTCGCATCCTCATCTAGGGCGGCGGTGCCCATTTCATTAGCCAGTACCTTCACTTGCCTTTCCTTTCAAAAACAGCCTCCTCCCGCTGCGAGTCTTTTCCTTCTTTCCCATCGGGATGTAAATCCAATTCCTTCTATCCTTGCTCTTACAGAATCCGCTGCACTATTGGGCTCACTTGAATCTGGGTAAGAAGACTAGCTTTCCGTACCGACAAAAGCATAGTCTTCAAAATATTACCGCGTAGTAGGAAGAGATGGTGCTATTTTCTTTAAATTAAAGCATTTAATCAATTTGTGTATTGTAATATGATGTATTGATGAAATGTATGAATTTGATAAATACATTGTTTGGAGGTTTAGATTGTGCTTTGTTATAAATAAAAAAGTAGATGGTAGACAATCCATTGGTCACAATCTCACCTTTTGGTAGAAATTGATAATCATTCATTTTTAGTGATTGTATGTGGGCCCAGAAAAATGTAATACATCTATTATGTCACAGATTTAACCAAAAAAATAACTTAATCTTGACATTACATGCATTGGCTAAATACATCGCTTGAAATCACAACCTCCAAACGACCCTTAGACACCACATTTTTCGAATGTGTTGTTATAATACTAGAAATTTCCCACATTTTTTTTGCACAAGTGTTGGCACCACACCATAATTTATTTTTTATATGTTTTGAGCAAAATGTGGTCACTAGTTGCCAAGTGAAAACACATTGGGCATTTTTCAAAGTAGCCTCAAGCCCTCATTTTATCAAAAGTCTTAATGGAGTTTGTCGTCACCGGCCAAGTGATGAATTGATTTCGAGGTATAGAAGGTCCCTTCCAAACCAATTTCCTCTATCTTTGTTTGGTTTGTCGTCAGGCAACTGCGGCCTCGGTGGTGCCTCAAGCGTCGAAAAGTTTCATTGGAGATGGAACAACAACGATAGGAGAGGGACTAGTCGTTGTGGAGAAGGATAAGTCGAGCGGAGAGTTGATAGATGCGACGGTGGCTGCCGGATTGGAAGACATTTTATCCTTCCTAGTTTTCTTAATCGGCTCTTATCTTCTTCGTTCTAATTTGAATTTGATTTTTTTTTTTGCACAGATGGAACTGGTTTGTTGTGCTCTACAAAATGAGATCATATTCAATATTTTTTGAGAAACAAATTTCATGCCTATAGTTATTAACCACATACCATATGGTATCTCCTTCGTTTTTAAGTCTTTTTGAAATTTTTTGCACAGAATGAACTAGTTTATCATGATCTATTGGATCTACACATTTTTTGGTGAACAAAATACAGGACCAAAAGTACCATACAATACCACACTGGTATGGGAGGTGGTATCTTGTGGTACACAATGTTGAAAGTCGTAAATGACGGTTAGTATACTCTTACTATCATGTATTCAACCATCATACAGTCTTGGTATGTTCATACTTCCATAGTACGCTTTTCATACCATATGGTATGCTCTTATTTTAACACCAATCAATACCACCATGGTATAGACTGATAGAAAATGTCTCGATTAAATTTGTTCCAAAAATATATCAAAGTAGATATCATTTTGAAGAGTACAATTAATCTAATTTATCTGTGCTAAAAAATCAAAATTCCGACTTCAAACGAGAGAGAAATAGTTCGTTAAAAATTAAAGTGAAAAAGATTAAAGGTTTTCCAGGAGAGAAAGAGGGGTGTTGATGTGGCAGATTCTGATTATGTTACTGATTGTTATTGACCAGTAAGTTATACATGGGATCCACTCCCGTGGGAAGGATTTTGCTTTGAAGGAACATAGATAGAGAGAGACATGAGCAGGTATGAGTGGGAGTGTGGGAAGTAGGATTACTATAATACCGCTAATTGTTAGCATGGTGCTAACACCCACTCCCTACTTTTCTCTGTGTTCAGGCTCTTCATTACTCACACTCCTATTTCTTAATGAAATTAGGTTTTAGTAAAAAAAAAACCTTTTAATATGCCCTCCTATATCCCCAAGTCTGAAGATGAAGCTCGGAAATTAGTTCCCTGCCGGCCGGCGGCTGGAGTCGGAAATTTGGAATGATCACCGATAATTCATTTTAAATTTTCTTTCCTTCCCACAAAATTACATTAATTGTATCATTTCACCATGACCATACTAGCTAGTAGCTACCTCCTCCATTTCCTTATCTATATATGCCTTCCCTCACAAACTTTCTTTTTAGTCCAAACGAGTCCCCAAAAACCCCATTATTTCCAATGATTCCCGTAGCGGATGAGATACGTGCGGCCGGCGTGGTGACGTGGAGCGAACTTCCACCCTGGTTTAGCCACCGGCGCCCTCGGAATTTGCCGGCGGTAGCACCTCGGAGAGTCGATCGTGGCCGCGAAAGTATTAGACGACGATGACGAGGTGGACGAAGAAGAAGACGAGGATGACGACGGAGGAGGCGATTGTTTTTTCGCCGGCGGCGAAAGGAATGCTCTGATTTTTAGCGACGGCGACCCAAATGATTGGATTTGGACTTGAGCTGGTTGCCGCTTCAAGCCTGATTTTGATACGAGTTCACCACACACATATATATAGGGGAAATGAAAGCCTTTGGGGACTGGGGAGTTTGGAGAAATACACAAAAGACTGGAGGGAAAGAGGGCTAGGATTAGTGGGGCCTCGTCTGACGTGGGCATCGAGTCCTCCATCCTCCAGACAATAGTAGGATGGCAAAGCAACCAATTACAGTTTCTATCCAATCGAATTCGAGTGAATTTTATGTACGAAGAGGATAATAGATTTGGTGTAATTTTGATATCTTAAATATCCAAATCGAGGTCATTTGAATATGTGTTGCATCTATTTTCTAGACATACTCACTTTAATATTTTGATCATTCATATCTCTCAAATATCTTAGTAATCTTTTAGTCCTTCATATTGCTCGTTTTCTATCAGTTTTACGAACAAAGAAACATCAATTAATGTCATATTGACATTTTAAGAAAAATTTTAGACTATATCAAGAACTATATATATTGAGTGTTCGAGGATGGTGCATGTAGGTTCTCCATAATAGCATACTAGTTGGTTTTGGTATGTCATAATAGCTTTGGTTACGAGGATGGTACGGGTCTAAATTAGTCGTTCGCTTTAAAATAATATTCTCTCTGACATATTTTTTTGTGACATATGATACAAGTCTATATCATGGTGCTAATGTTTGATAGTACATCAGATTATAGCAATAATGATATGTATGTCGTAGTGTAAAATGGTAGTACATGTTTCTAGGAATATACTAACCACATTTCACGACTGTCTACCACCAGTTACCATCCTATATCAGAACGATATAATTGGTCCTGAAAATTCCTTTTCATATATTTGTAGTTCACAATTAACATGTTTCTTCTGGGCAAAAATATTCAAATTGAGTTAACAAAACAGTGGTACATAGAGATGCAGGGTGGTATGAAAAAATATCTCGTAATATACAAAAAAAAATGATTTAATGGATCACAATAAACATGTTCCATCTGTGCGAAAATAATTTAACATTCAGTCAAAACAAATAAGATACAAACTGATAAAAAAATTTGGAAAAATAAAAGTCTTTTAATCTCATTTCTTAAGGTTGCAAATATGCAATTGGTAGCCACATCAATGCAATTGATTTTGCAATTGCAAACACCTATGTCATGTCATTTTGCAATTGAGAATGGAATACCAATATGATGCTCTTAGATCTAATCCCACTAAAAACCCTTGAGGTTAGATCTTGTTACGCACAAATGCATGATCAAGGGTTAAGCAACTTACCCTAAACCCTAATTTCCGATCCGCACGCAAAAGGATTTTAAGTACATTGTATTTACTTTTGATGGTTAATTAATCCATTGACATTTAATTAACATCATCAAAAACAAACATTCCAAGAAAATAGGGTTGGATCACTACTAACACCTAATAAGCATGGAGATACAATATGATTTAATTAACGCGACCAATATGATTTATTGTCAGGCGTTAGGCGGGGTTCAGAATACACCGCTGTCTCGACTTCTCATTCTAAACCTCATGGACAACACGAATGACCATATAAACTGAGAGAGAATACAAAAGAAGAAGTTGCTCTAAAGAGAGTCATCTCAAGCAGGGGCGGAGCCAGGATTTCGAGACCGGGTGGGCCGAAAATAGTTAACTATGAATAAAAATAAAATAATTATTTTAATTATTTTTAGAGTATACAAACGTCCTTTGAGATCTTAAAAAATAGCATCTAAACTAAATTTTTTAGTTATCTTTCTTTCAATATAAATAACTACATCATTAACAAGAAAATCATCATTTATTTTGTTTCACAATCTATTCTTCACTATCTTTATACCTGAAAATATGCACGATCACATGTAGCAGTGAAAAACTGGAAGATTTAAAAGAAGACAAATCAACCAATCAACAAAATAGAATTTCTTTGACAATCATATTTCTATTGATCCCGACATGGATAAAAAAAAGATCATATAGTTTCTATAAAGAGTTAAAAATTCCAAATGGACTAAATAGAGGTTGATTTTTTCATTTGTAGTTGGATTAAAGTAAAAAAAAGGGCTAATACCACTACAACACCCGAACTATGACAAAAATGCCACTTGTATCCTATTCTTTCCAATATTCCATTTGTGTCCTATCTATGATACTCTTGTGTCATTTGTATCCTGACAATTTCGTTGACCAGACGGAAGTCAAATTGTTGTTGACTTTTGCTGACGTGGCAAAAATGTGATAGCCACACAGATGCCACATCATTGACACATCACATTTTAATTCAAAATTAATTAATACGTAGAAAAAAAATCCCAAAATCAAATTCCTCTGCCGAAAAAAAAACTTCAATCTTTCCTCGACTTCTGCTTTTTCGGGTCGTCACTCCTTCTTCTTCTCCGGCGGAGTTGCTTCATCTTCTTCTTCCTCCAAGCAAGCTCCGTTTTCCGGCAGATCTTGGTTCACAATAGAGAGGTCGTCGATTTTCGATTCCTCGCCAGCACGACGAATCAGGGAGAACGAGGGAAGGAAGTTGCTGCGACGAGCGAGGGATCCGACCCCTCTCCCCTCACCCGACCTGCGCTTCTCTAGCCCTTATCGCGCCGCCATTGCTCGCGAAGCCCAAATAACCTCTCAGTATTCGCCTCTCTATCTCTCAAAGATTTGCCCAACCCAGAAAACCATCAATTCCGACGAGCTCACCCTCTTCAATGGCGACGAGCTCACCCTCGATTGCCAGAAGAACAAACTTCAAGCTAGCAACCTGCGGTTTCTGGGTTTTATCGACGGGTATGGAAGGGCAATTTTTCTCGTCCCCACTCCCCAGGCCATTGCTCCACCGGCATCAGATCTAGCGATGGCCGCGCCGCCGCCTACAACTCAACCCCTAAATTGAAACCAAATTGAAAGGGAGGGGAATCATCATTCTCGTCTTCCGCCGTCATTCACCTCGCCCAGCCGAGTCCGAGAATGAGAAAGGCCCCTACGACTGTCATTTGCGTTCCCTGGCCGTCGTTCCTCAATTAAATCTGGTTGCTAGAGGAAGGGTAACCAGAGAGCTAGACCGAGTTATGGTGTTGACGAAGACGATGGGCGATGTTGGATGCAACTAGGAAATAGATCGGGTTTGCTTCGATTTGTCACGAGCACCAAAATCCCTCGCGATTTCGTCAAGCCAAGAGAAGCAACCAGGGGCATGATTCTAAGATCTCATCGTCACGAAGCTTGTGGTTCGTCGCCGTAGAAGAGAGAGGGTGAGGGATAGAGGTCCTTGTGGTTCCGCCGGAGTCGGATTTCAGTCGCTCTTCGAGAACGACGATTCCCCTCCCCGGAGAGAGGGCTCCCGGCAGAGGGTTCCACCAGACGGCGGGAGGAGACGCGGAGAAGGGATTGGGAGGGTTTTCTATTTTTTTATTTTTTATTAAATGAAAATTGATAATGAAAATTCCAGGTCAGATGCCACGTCAACGCTGACTGTATTTTCTGTTAAATACTAACGGTCAACGCCAGTCAACACTAACGGAATAATAGTTCAGGACACAGATGGAATATTGGAAACAATAGGACACAAGTGGCATTTTCCGGATAGTTCGGGTGTTCTAGTGGTATTAGCCCTAAAAAAAACTTATGGCGGCCAGATTGGCGACTATTTTACCTTCAATTGTCTCAGAAGGCCAGAATGCTTTTATTCGAGAAAGGCAAATTATTGAGAATATCCTAATTGGTCACGAGTTGATGCACTATTTGAAAATCAAAACCCGCAGTAAGAAAGGGTACATGGCTCTGAAGGTTGACATGGAAAAGGCCTATGTAAAGTCGAATGGTCGTTTCTTCTGGCAGTTTTGGAGAAAATGGGTTTCAACTCGGTCTGGAGAGGATGGATCCAGGAATGCCTTCGATCTACGTCTTTTTCAGTTCTCATGAATGGCACTCCCTCGGGGTACTTCTCGCCCTCCCGAGGTCTCCGCCAGGGGGACCCTATATCACCGCTTCTGTTTGTTCTTTGTACAGAAGGCTTCGTGGCTCTTCTTCTCAAAGCTATAATGGAAGGGAAACTGGAAGGTGTGAAGGTTGCCCCCCCCCCCCCCCCCCCCCCCCGTGCTCCTCGTATCTCTCATCTATTCTTTGCCGATGATTCATATCTATTCATGCGGGGTAACCTCCAGGAATGTGAAAATCTGATAGATGTGCTGAACGAATATGAGGAATTGAGTGGTCAATGTGTGAATCTGGATAAATCGGCTGTTTGTTTTAGCAAGAATGTAGACTAGGAGGATCAGGTGTTTTTGGTGGCAGTTATGGGGGTGGGAGCAGTGGGGGTCCATGATAAATACCTGGGGCTACCAACTCTAATTGCCCGTTGAAAAATGGCGACCTTTCGCTACTTAGAGGAGAAATTGCTCGAAAAATTACAAGGATGGAAGCGGCGTACATTATCTTGGGCGGCTAAGGAAACTCTTATTAAATCCATTGCATTAGCTTTGCCTCTCCATGTAATGTCTTGCTTCAAGCTGCCTTTGTCCCTTTGTAGATTGCTTGATAAACATATCGCCAGATTTTGGTGGGGTGGGATAGATGATTAGTCACGAATCCGCTAGGTCTCCTGACGGAATATGTGTCGTAGTAAACATGAGGAGGGATGGGTTTCCGCCGCTTTGAACAGTTTAACCAGGCCTTACTGGCTAAAATCGGATGGCGCATCCTCGATGAGCCCACCTCCCTATTGGCGCAGGTCTATAAGGGTAAATACTTTCCGACTGGGAGCTTTCTTCAAGCCACTGCACGATCCAGGCCTTCATGGAGCTGGCAAAGTGTGCTGTTTGAGAGAGAATTACTTGAGAAAGGGCTTCGGTGGCAGATTGGGAACGGGAAAACAACGTCACTACTGTGGTCGAATTGGATTCCACAAATTCACCCTGACCTTCCGGTTGCTTACCCACAGGTCCTTCCGGTGGGGGGTGACCCTCGAGTGGAGGAGGTGATGGATCCGATTGGGGGTGGTTGGTCTGATGCCAAGTTGGGCCAATGGTTTGATCCCCCAACATGCCGCCGCATCAAGGCTATTCCTTTGCCAAGACGCTCTGTGGAGGACAAACTTATTTGGCATGGTACGGCTGACGACACATTTACTGTTAAATCAGCCTATCATC